TATAAAAGTTTTGGAAATCTGTTACTTTGATTGAATTTTGAAAAACGATGATGTAATCTAAGAAGGGGTAATTTACACCACCCTTCCTTTGACCCTTTGTCACAAAACATGCCAGTTTACGTCATGCGCACACAAATCTTGTGGATGAAGGTAAATTATAATTTCTTCATTGAGTTATCAAATGAACGTGTCTTTCTAATATGGAGCCCGTATAGATAAAACCGTTATTGGTGTTTCGGCGCAGAAATTTCATTTAGCCTAATGGATTTTCATGGACGCTAGCATAAAACCAAGAGCTATATTCCAGCGAAATGCTGCAGAAAGTGATTTAAATTCGAGATATTGGATCTGAACATCGTTAATAAATCTTAACATTCTTATTAATAGGTAACCAATCCATAGAATTATACTAAATTACATAACTGTCAATTATTACAATATTTATTTTATTCAAACACTCAATTGGTTGATTAATCCGAAACTTGATGCCCCTAGTCTCTGATATACACTCGTAGGTCATAGTTAGCTATTCTATGGTCAGAAACAAGGATTAAGGGATTTCCAACAATGCTATTCGATCCTTTTAAGGGTCGACTGTTCGGCGATCCAACTGATATAACTAGACTGTAAATTTCACTGCTCCACTATTGCATTAATTTCAAAGGGTTTTAACATAGGGAATCGCTTGCATTTTAAAGGTTGAGCAAAATGCTCCAGAAAAACGTGCCGTTTATTCCTGATACGAAGCTAGCGCAAAACAATCCAAATGACTATCCGAGGCATGTCTGAGGAAGTTTCGGACTATTGGTTGATAAAAATGGCGAGCTGTGAGATGAGAGACAAACAGCTCATCATTTCTGTCATATCACCAGATAAGTGGATTGACAACAAACCAATCAAACTGACCCCAAGCCATTTTCATCGAGTTTCGGGTCAAAGTTGAAATAATAAGAAATTCATATTCGGCTTGAAGATTGTGATGAGTGGGAATAACATGCCTATAAGCAAATTTAGATGAGAATATTATTTAGGCGGAACTTGATTGCTTCACCAAATCGATAAATATAACTCTTTCAGTGCCACATGTCTTAAACATGTTTCTGAACCAAGATGTATTTTAATTGACACTTATAATTACATAAAGCTGAACTTTAAAACATTTTGCCAGTGGATATTAAAAACTTTGAGTGCTGCATCAATTTGTCCAAATATAAAAGTAAGATCGTAAATATGCGGTTGATGCAAAGCATTGTGATAATTCCAATTATGTTGTCACTTTCCTTACTAGTTTTCCTAATTATATAGCTTATTTGGCACATCTACGATCGTTATATTCAAACCTTTCTTCATCCAAGTTTAAATCCGCAGAAAAATGAATCTCTATCCTGTAGAATCATATCTCAGTCGTGCAAAAACAAATATTAATCGTGTAACATAAAATCCACATTGTGTAAAAACAAATCTCAATCGTCTAAAATTAAATCTCAATCTTGTAATTTTTTAACGTCTTGAAATCCCCATTGTGTAAAAACTAATCTTAATCGTGTAACATGAAATCCCCAGTGTAAAAAAACAGATCTCAATCGTGTAACATGAAATCTCTATTGTATAAAAACAAATCTCAATCGTGTAACATGAATTCCCCACTCTAAAATTAAATCTCAATCCTGTATCATTAAATTCTCATTGTGTAAAATTAAATCTCAATAATGTAACGTGAAATCCCCATTGTATAAAAACAAATCTCAATCGTGTAACATGAATTCCTCACTCTAAAATTAAATCTCAATCGTGTATCATGAAATCCTAATTGTGTAAAATTAAATCTCAATGGTGTAACGTGAAATCCCCATTGTATAAAAACAAATCTCAATCGTGTAACATGAAATCCCCATTTTGTAAAAACTAATCTCAATCGTGTAACATGAAATCCCCATTGTCTAAAAACAAATCTCAATCGTGTAACATGAAATCCCCATTGTGTAAAAACAAATCTAAATCGTGTAACATGAAATCCCCGGTGTAAAAAAACAGATCTCAATCGTGTAACATGAAATCCCCATTGTATAAAAACATATCTCAATCGTGTAACATGAAATCCCCATTTTGTAAAAACTAATTTCAATCGTGTAACATGAAATCCCCATTGTGTAAAGACAAATCTAATATGAAATCTCCATTGTATAAAAACAAATCTCAATCGTGTAACATGAAATCCCCATTGTAAAATTAAATCTCAATCGTGTATCATGAAATCTTCATTGTGTAAAGTTAAATCTCAATGGTGTAACATGAAATCCCCATTGTATGAAAACAAATCTCAATCGTGTAACATGAAATCCCCATTGTGTAAAAATAAATCTCAAACATGAAACATGAAATCTCAGTGTAAAACTAAATCTCAATCGTTTATCATGAAATCCCCATTGTAAAAAACAGATCTCAATTGTGTAACATGATATTCCCATTGTGTAAAAATATAATGCCAATCGTGTAACATGAAATCCCCATTGTATTAATACAAATCTCAATCGTGTAACATGAAATTCCCATTGTATAAAAATAAATCTCAATCGTGTAACATGAAATCCCCATTATGTAGAATTAAATCTCAATCGTAGAATTAAATCTCAATCGTGTACAACTTTCAATCGTGTAAAATGAAATCTCAATCGTGTTAAATCGTTTGGATATAAAACACAATAGTTTTAAAACAAATCTTAATTGTGTAAGTCAAAACTGAATCGAGTAAAAACAAATCTCAATTTTGTTGGATGAAATCTCAGTCGTGTAAAATTATATCTGTACCTTGTAAAATAGAATCTCAATCGTGTAAAATCAAATCTCAAACGTGTATAAACAAATCTCAAGCTTATAAATCCAATCTTTAGCCTGTAAATCAAATCTCCGTCGTGTAAATCAAATCTCAATCGCGTAAAACCAAATCCCTATCGTGTAAAATCAAATCTCAATTGTATAAATTCAAATCTTAATCGTGGAAAAACATATCGCTATCGTATTAAATAGAACCTGAATCGTGTAAAATTATATCTGAATTATATGATAACAAACAAAGCTCAATCATGTAAGATCACATTTCCATTGTGTGGAACTAGCTTGAAGTTAAAGATCTCGAGTTTCTATCAATTGAATCGGACTCTGCTCTTGTGGACTGGTTAGAGTTATTAAAGAGTTAATTAAGGTAGCAGAGTTCATTCATAATTCTCATTCATATTGTCTTGTGTATTGAATTGTACCATGCGGTGCTATGATAGTGCTTTAATTGATATCAGTAGACATTAATCAATATTACCCTATACAAATCCTATTAACCTTAGATAATTATCAACTTTAGCATGCTCTTGATCTAATTGGGTTGATTGCGCTCCCAGATCATTTCTCTGATGTTTCCTAGTAATAAAGCTGTTCACACACGTCTCGTATGATGAAATTGAAGCCTGTTTAGTATAAAAACTGTTTCAGTGAATTTTATTAAAGGATTAAAGATATCGGGTGATTGCTCATCCTTCATATCCACTACATCTCATTCAACGATGTCCAATACCTAAATCACAAGATTGCTCATTTTTAAGACTATTTTTCAACTAATAGAAATTTCGTTTAAAACATAGTGTACATTTTAAAAAGATATATCGAGGTGTAATTTTTACGAAACTTACAAAATTTACATCAAAGCACACCCTAAGCTTTAATTGTACAGATGTAGCCTAGTATGTTATTTCATGGCATGCTTTCTGTACTTGACATCCTCTGATGGTAGACAAAGTTTTTAATAACTCGGTGATGGAAACATACACGTTGGGAAGTTTATAGACATTTTTGACAACATACAAGCCGTGGACAAGAAACTATCAAATATATAGAATGACGTCTGTTGGTATGTAACAAGTCAGGCCTGTCTATGGTATGGTTTCCTCTAGCTCGTCTGGATATCAACTAATCCGATTGATTTCTGTCATGTCAAATTCTACCAGCCTTCTGATTCTATTTTCATGTTATAATTCAATGTTTTAAAACGGCTTAAATTTCATCTCAATTCAATTTTAAGACAGAAAGTTTTTCAGACGTCACATTGATACATTAAATAATTGAAACATTATCTCGTGGTAACGTGATTTTACGACATATTAGATATAAGGTCAGCATGACATGCCAGTTCGTCTGATCTAATTAGAAAGATATTCAAACTTCATTTCCAACATGAACAAATTGAAAGAAGTTAAAAGCATGTCGTCTACTTTCTCGACACCATGACGCGTTTCTCTATATTCCTAAAAAAAACAACTTCATTTTCCATTTAAATTAACAAACTTATATCTAATAGATTTATAAAAGAAAGTAAAAGTAGAGTCACGACAGCACGCTCGTTAGGCTATTAGCCTTCATTATCCGTCAGTCACACATTGGACGGAGGAAAATGGAAAATTCGTTAATGTACTTGAAAACTTCAGCCCTCATTTTTTTTCTGGTCTAGGCAATGCCATTATTTAATCCTTACCCGATTCTGTTTTTGATGAATAGTTTTTTCCTTTCGTTTTATACCTACCTGCAGGGCAGAATTCCAAGGCCCTGTGTGCTTCAGGTTGTGCACGTTGAAAAACCTTCAACAGTTGGTAATCAAAAGACAGAGTAGGCTTGAGATAAAGTTTGTTATGACAAAATGTCTTTCTTGATACTGGTGTTAGGGTGTATTGACACTCGTCTCAATGAAAGGACTGGCCTAGTGTAATCTTCATCATGTCCAAATACGGGGTCTTCTAGAACTAAATTTCATTGGACAGTCCATTTGGATACGAGATTTAAAACTTATTTTAAAATGGTCTCTGGGAAGATATTGCTATTAGCTGTGGTTTGCACACGATGCCTAATCAGGTTCGGAATAGTAAGGCGTAAAATCCAACTGCATTTTATTTAAAATTAAGCCCACAATTAAAGAGATTACATGAATTCATTTTTATATTTCAGGAAATTATGGTCTGTGGGCAGATTGGTGGTCTTATGAAGGTATATCAGGTAAGCCGAGATGATTTATTTTCTTATTCGAATAAACCTGCCTGTGCAGTACATAAAGCTCACAACCAATCTTTTCCGTCTGATTGTTTCGACTGTTTCGTTTATGATAAAGTATTTCTTCATTTTGCGTCCTGTCCATCATGTCCATGGCTGCTGCAACGACAGGAAAACCTCTTCTTTAGTTAACCATGAAACCACTGTCATTCGGCTCTTATTACATTACAACATATTTCTGAAACAATTCTTCTCAAACCCAACTGTATATCTGATTTCTTGAGTTGTATAGCTTTTTGTAACATATCGATGCCATTTATAATGCTCGGGTGTTTTGTACTCTCGCGAGATATATCACTGGCGAGAATAAACGAGATAATGTCGTGACGACAAATAATTATGGTGTAATATCGTGGTGTTTTTGTAACACTTGTATCTTATCTTTATAATTATAGTATTTTATATTGGCCATTTTGTCATGAACTAAAAATACATATATATATATATATATATATATATATATATGCACAGTACTCCTTTTTACACATACCAGGGAAAACAATCAATACGAGGCTTTCGTTCTGAAATTTTTTTTTGAAAAGACAGATGGAGTTAGGCTTATTCTGTAGAAAATTAGCAGTTCCCTACTTAACAGGCGAACAAATCTTGTCGTTGATCTTGAAAATGTTGTTAGTTTATTATGAGGATGTACATCCATTGCAAAGCAGTACATTTGACTTTCAGATCATCTTATTGAGCACCTGTCTTCGTGCCTTCGTCCTTCTTATTTTGTAAACACTGGCTCTGAAAGATCATTGAAAATATCATACTGGTCATGCAGCATTCTTGTTTAAAACAGTCAAGGTTTCAACTCTATATCAGAATATACGTTTCATTCTGGTTTCTTTTTTTTTATATTCAGGATTATAGTCTCTTTAAACAAATATATATGTCCCGAGAGGATTAATCTTAATAATAAAAGAAAACACGGAAAGTAATCATCATGTGACCTCGACATTCCAGTTCTATAATCAAGTATTGTATAGGTTGAATTGATGTCGACCTAATCAACTCGACCCCGCTGTCAGTGTATTATGTTTCTCTCTGATACACCTAGCCTCAAATCTGACTATTATTATACAAGACAATCTAATTGAGTGAATTGTATTATTGTAATAGAACTATTGAATCATTGTAGACAATCTTTACTAATTCAATATATAGTTTCACATAATAGTCTTCTTGTCTCATCTTTCTTTACGCCTTCAACTTCATACTTCTTTCACATCTCACTGCTTCTCTTCTTTCTACTCGGTCATTGTGTAGGCTTCAAAAGATACCAACTTCCGGTTTACTATTCAGAAAGGACAGGATCAAAGACATGAAGAAAGTACGATCGACAGTGTGAAGTATCGTAGGCAGTGATTTGCCAGCAAATGTTAAATAAGAGTAGCTCAGTTTTAATTTAGAAGTCGTGTCCATCAGACAGCTGCTTGGAACAATGACATATCTGTGGTACAAATGGGTGTTGTGGTTTGCAAGAAAATGGGCCACAGATTAATAGTTTTGGGGTCAGTTATGGGCTATACACATTTTTCTTACGAGCAAAACAAAACGCTGCTTAGCACAATTTCCGTTCAAACTGTAGGCTACATTATGTATTCTGAAAGAGATAAACCTTGTAATTTGCAGGCATACAGAGTAGATGTATCTCCTTTGGGAGTTCGCTGATCAAGAGTGGTCAATCCCAATTTACATTTGCTACGTTGCTCAGAGGCAATCATAAATTATCAGTAATGAGAATGGGGCACAGAATTGCTTCTGGAATTAGGAAACATACTTATTCAAATGTTACCTACTCGGGCAGCGATTGAAAAAAATCCTGGCAGACAAGTAGTGTTTTCGAGTGATACTCTAGAAATGATTAAAGGGATTGTTAAAAGGTTCTCTAAATTTTGTATGTGTATCGGCACACTGATAGCATCTATTTGCACCATTCTAATTTTCAATCAGATATCTGTGGTTCCTGAAATTCCACAAAAACTAAGTGTTTGATGACGTCATTAATCGCAAATAAGCTTTAACACATATGGACTTCGCGATTGGTGGCGTCATAAAATGCTTAGTTTTAGTTGAATAGCAAGAACTCCAGATGTCTGATAGAAAATTGAAATGGTGCAAATGGATGTTATCATAAGTCATTTTTTAGAAAATCTCTTTACAATCCCTTTTAAGTTCTGAAAGAAAATTCGCCGAAAATAGCGGGCAACAAACAACAGACATTCGGCCTGTACGCCTATGAGAAGTGTCCCTCTTTCGTTTTATCCACCCTGAAGGTCTCTGTCAAGGTTCCGTAAATGCTATAACTATTCACAGAATAAAATCAAAAGAGGTGAAAGGCTACTTGAGTTGTTAACTTATTTCCTACTTTATGTCAGAAGTTCATTGATTTCTCAATTTACATACAATTCATATCAAATCAAGTCGTCTTCAAGTCTCAATAACACTGCTCAAGTACTGGTTTTGAATAATCTCGACAAAGCACTTGAAATGATCAATGCAAATCAAATTTCGGTCCATGATTTACAGTTGTTTACGTCAAGATTATGATATTTTGTCGCTGGAATTGATGAAACAGAAGCATGTCGTTAGAAGCATGATTATTGTACAAAATAATACTAGACTAAGAACTCCGATTCGTTGTTCTTGTATCTGTTTACCAACCGGATTTCTTGAAATATTTAGATAGATTATATTAAGTGATGAACTTTCTGACTAAATGTTTCCAGATTTCTCCTCCTTTCCCGTGAGGCTTAAATTCTGATTTTCTGAATTTTCTGAGGTTTTTATCACCCTTTCTTTTTCCACAAACTTCCTTGTTTTCATTTACTTAATGTGCAAAAAAGCATATTGATAAAATAAAACAATCCATTTAATATCATATTTCTCCAGCCTAGTATTTTAACGAATAACAATTATTTCTGTTTTTAACCTTCTTTCAAAGTAACAAGTGATTCTCAATCTTTGCTTGCTCAGAATGCAGAACGTACAAGAAGTTCAATACATTTATTATAACGCTTATTTTTACAGCTTTTTATGTGGTAAGAAAACTGCCATCGAGTGCAGAATCTTGCTACCAAAATACAGAAAAGTTAATAGACAATTTCCTGCTTCAGGCTGGCTTGAAACCTTGTCGTCTCTATCTCCAATGGGTTTTAATTGGTTTTCTTGAACCGAGTTAAAGGCACCCAGGAGATCAAACCTCTATCATTGATTTTTCGTTTCATCTTTGAAAAACTACTATTGTAAACATTTATAATAGACTTAAAAAGCTATCGATACTCTTAGCGAGTGCAATATATAAACAGACCCTTATTCACTGTTATTTATATTCTGTTCATAATATACACAAATCATACTTTCATCTTTACAGAGATATTCATTGATTCTTTTATAAATCTTTAATAAAATTGAATGAACGGTTGAAATGTTATCATACGATTTTAATGATGGAAGGTGTTCAGTGTATCGAGTCGTTCTGTTTGGTATATAGAAGTGTGGTACATTGGAATGCATTGAAAGTAAAAAGCATCTAAATATGTATTTCGCCAAATGATGTACCTCAATTTCAAGTATCTGTATTGTTCAAATTAAGAATCATAAAATACAACCAAAACGTACCGTGTAAGCTTATAATTTTCAAACGTGGAGATACGATTGATTCTTCGTGATATTTTATTCGCTAAAAAAAAAGGTGCGTATCTAGAAAATGCCGGTGTGGGGGATGAGAGGTCGGGGGAGTGTGGCTGCCAGAAGCCCCAAAAAAGCCAGTTGGCCCGGGATAAATTTTGAGCAGTTAGAGGGCTTGATTTCAATTTTAGGCCTGAGGGAAGGGCCATGGTCCACACCCACACCTCCTAAATACGCTACTAATTATTTCTTACTTCCATAGCCACCTCGTTTGATTAAAGGAAATGTCAAAATGTGGATGATGACTTTTTTCATTCCCATGATGCATCTGATTTCTACGGAGCCCCTAAGGCGCAATTGTAAACATATTTATTTATTATTTCGTTTAAACGAATTAATTATTTCGTTTAAACGAAATAATTAATTCGTTTAAACGAAATAACATCATTTATTTCGTTTAAACGAAATAATAAAGGAAATGTCAAAATGTGGATGATGACTTTTTTCATTCCCATGATGCATCTGATATAATAATTAATTCGTTTAAACGAAATAACATCATTTATTTCTTTTAAACGAAATAATTATTTCGTTTAAACGAAATAATAAATAAATATGTTTACAATTGCGCCTTAGGGGCTCCGTAGATTTCCGTCGTACATTCATACTCACCTCTTTCCAGTTTGTGTGTAAGATGTTAATTTTTAACGTGTTTAGGTTAGTCGAACTCATGATGAATACAAGGGAATAAAAAGTATAATAGTGATGTAAATGGTTGAAAGAAGAACATTGATTGAACAAGGTATGAAGATGTAAAAAGCTAATAGATCCTTATAAGATCAAGTCACGAAGATGCTATCAAACCTTCTATAATGTGTTTTAGTCTCGTAAAATATCCATTAAAACATTTTTTTCTTAAATCTCTTTCTGTCTTCAATAAAAACTACAGGAATCCCGAAAATTGACTTTTTTTTTTCAGATTGTTTTAACAAAAATCTGAAATTGATACGACGAGTTGTTTTCATGAAATTTTTTTTTACTCCCATACGAGGTGCGGTTTATACGTTCATTATAAGGTATGCATTTTGCTTGACGATTTTCGTGATGATCGGACCAATTATCACCAAATTTTATCATTGAACTTAGCATGTGACTTGGTGTATATTCATTTCCTCGGACCTTACAGCGAAGTTCGCCTAGATTATCAGATATGCTGATTGATAGGTATTATTTGAAGATTATGAATTATAGTGTACAGTCATTGTAGAAATGTAGGTAAACTCAAAGTTACCTTGACAGAGCGAAAACCTCAACGG